CATATTTTTTTTAAAAAAGACAAAGATATATGTAAAGAAATCCCTGCAAAAATTTTCATTGCTGTTCCCCCTGTGTTCATCCCTGCCATCTTCTACAGGTGATTATTTAATTGACTGACTTATTCTGGCTGTTTTTCCTTTTATAAAAGTAAACAAATGTATATATAGTTTCATTTTCACATTGCTTCTTCTGGAAAAGCTGTGTGTTCTATAACTTCTTCAAAATTTTATTGTGTAATGTGCAAAGTTCAATCTATCTCTCTCCTCTCTTCTCACCATAATTATACTTTGCCAAGATTCCAGAATTCCCAGTTGGCCATTTTAATGAGGGATGGCACCCAGTTGGAGATGTGTGGGATCTGACTGCTCCACTGTCCTTTGGAGCTTAGTGTTTCCAGTGGTCCAAGCCTCCAGCTCCTTGTGCCCAGTGGATCCCATGTAAAAGCCTGGTTTGACCTTTAACTTTGATGCATCTTTCCATCACCTTGCAAATTCAGGGCTCTCTTGTCATAGGAACTAGTTGAGAGAAAGGTTTGCTAACACATCTTCCAAAGAGGATGTTTTATATACTGTACCTTCTGGCATGATGGTGTTGAAGAATGACATCCATCATATTCTCTTTGAACAAGACTTGGCTTCAAATGAGGCTAAAAGTTTATGTTTGGTTATAAATTTAACAATTGTCTAAGATTAGCACCAAGAATATCCTGAATGACAGTTCACCTTCTGTTAGAAAGAACCGGGCTAGGCAGTTCTTGCTGGAAAACTCATTTACAAATTCAGCAAAGTGGATAGGCTGAGTTAAATTTTTTAATTTGGAATCCCATTGCTTAAAAAAAAGCAAAATTCTGCTAATTCCTCTTTGCTCCAAATGTATGAGGTATCTCAATTTTCATTTGTGCTCTGCAACAACAGTTTCTCAATGAGGCAATAAAAAACAAAAAAGATCTTTGCCAGGCTGTAAGCGCAATTGCACTAGAGGTGGCCAGAGCTGCAGCAGAATAACTTCCAAAAGGGACAGATTCTCAATGCCTGGGCTGAGGGTCAGGATGGCCATGTTAGGAAGCGGTGGCTTTATTGGGTTGAAAATGCCTAATGAAACATGGCCCTTTCCCCCAGGGGTTCCTGGAGAGGAACTTATATGTACAAAACTCCCCAGAAAGCCCTCTATTGCTACAGTTTCATGCCTGGACTTTGGAATCCTGTCTCCAGCACAGCTCCAGCCCTGTTGGTTCTGCCCTGTCCAAACAACAGGGTCATGTGCCCACCAGGGCGCTGGATACGCACATGGCTCTTAGAGATAAGGACAGCCTGCTGTTTGTCCAAGTCTCTCCTGGTGTTCTGGGTACAGAAGCCACATCCTGCAGCAGTGCCTCTGGAGGTCTGCCAGAGCCACCATACGCCTGTCTCAAAAATGTCTCATCTTGTTCAACAGAGAAGCAGCTAAATGCTGGGTCTTGGCTGAAAGCATCTTGTAATGACATACTTTATCGGCATGAAAGCCAGAGCAGCTTTGCCCAAAGCAGCAGATATCCTGGGGCATCTCCTTTAGCATCTTCTTCCTCCACAAAAGTAGTATCTCTTGGAGCTTATCAGACATAAAGCACCGGGAAAGAGCTCACTAGGTCTGTCAGGACTGGTGTACAGAGGCTGCGGATGAGGGAGGGATGGTGATGAGACTCACCCTCTCCATTCCAGATGAGCAGTGCGGTGGCTATTCTCAGACGGCATGTTCGCCTCTCCTCCAGTTCTCTCACTCCTTCAGATCCTGGGAAGCCAGAATGGGACTCAAGGACAAAAAGGAGTGGGAAAAAGAGGAAGAGGAATTAAGATGTGTGTTGGGTAATTTAGATGCATTGTGAAAACCTAGGCATAATCCCGGGAGTCAGCAAATCTCTGTATTCTCTGGAAGGGGCAACTGAGGCGCCCTTATGCTGAATGGCGTGACCATAGTCACGCAGAGAGTGAAGGGGGGTGGATCCCAGCGCAGGCTGGAGTCCACCAGTGTGTCAGCCGTGGAGGACCCTACAGAAGTGAAGAGGGAATGGAACAATGGCAGGTGCTGGGAGCAGAGGAATAGAAGCTGCACTCGCTCTCCTCCATTCTCTCTTTCCACCACCAAAGGATTAGTGAAGAGGAGAAGGGAAGGGCCAAAGGGTCACAGCTGAAGGAGAGTGCCGTTTGGAGAATCAGTGAAGAATGTCAAAAGGCATCGATTGTTTTCTTTTTCTTCTCAGTGTCCAGGATGCATTTAGCTCAAAAGACTTTGGACTCTTTTTTTTTTTTTTTTGGGTGGGAAGGGGGCAAACCAAGGATTGAAACTGGGGTGCTTAACCACTGAGCCACATCCCTAGCCCTTTAATTTTTTTTTCTTTTCTTTTGGGACAGGCTTTTGCTGAGTTGCTGAGGCTGGCTTTGAACTTTCGATCTTCCTGCCTCAGCCTTCCAAGCTGCTGGGATTACAGGTGTGTGTCACCATGCCTGGTGACTTTTGACTCTTGATAGCCAAGAGTAGCAGTTCTCAAGGCTGGGGTCTTAGGGTTCTTTTACTTCATAAAGATTGTTGAGGAAACTTAAATGGATGTTCTATGGGTCACATTTATTGATATTTACTAAGGCCAAAAATAAAATACAAAAAATTTTTAAATATTTATTAGTTTGTTCAATAGTAATAATATTACACCCAATGTATGGCGAATGTTTTTTTTGTGTGTGTATGGTGTTGGGGATGAAACCCTTGTGCATACCATGCAAATGTCTACCACTGAGCTGTACCCCCAGTCCCTTAAACAACCTATTTTAATAAAAAAGGACCATATTTTCAAAAATAAGATATTTAATGAGTAGACTGACAATTTTTCATCTTTACAAGTCTTACATGTGTGGCTTAATAGAAGACAATAGCAATTTCTCATCTGCTTTTACAGTTGGTCTGCAACAATATATTGTTTTGGTTGACACATATTTGGTAAAAGCTTCACCCAGATAAGTGGTTGGAAAAGGAAGTATTTTAATAGCCTTTTCAGATAGTGGTTATTGGTCTTTGATCCTTCCCCAAAGCCCAACAAGTGCTAGTTTCTAAAAGTGAGTGAAATGTGGGATATAAAACCACATCAATGAATGTTTATGCTCTGTGAAATTGAAGACTATAGGTCTATCGCTTCAAATGCGTCTTCATTCATTCAAGATTTTGTAATTTTCCTGCATTGGTTGTTGGAGTCATGCAAACTTTACAACTGTTGATAAGTTTTACTTAAAAAGAAATCACATTCTTCCATCATTAACTGCATTAGAAAAGTCACTCTTAATATTGACAATCACTTGTCTTTGAGTGACTGACTCACTTTGTTCATTTGCAATAAAACACTGCCAAACACAAATTTAAATAATCGTAGCATTATGGTCAGTCATCTTTTCAAGTATAATGTCACTCTTTTGATATAGCTCAGCTTGTAACTCAGTCACGTAAGTGCATTTCCTTCCGACAGCCATTGGGTTCAGTTTGCCACAGAAGCACTTTAGGCATGGTCCCCATTTTGTCACACTGGGTATTAAAAAGTCATGCACTCAGAGGTCAGAATTTAATAATATTATTACTTTTCCCTGCTTTATCAAAGACACTCCCAAGATAAATGGGCATTTTTTTCCCTTTGCAAATATGTGGTATTGAATATGCCACTAGTAGGATGTGGTGTCACTTCCTTGACTCATGCTAAGTGAGCAGCGGTTTTATCCACGGTTGCTCTTGCACCATCAGTGCAAATGTCAACATAGTTGGTCCAGGATAAAACATGAGATGTTTAAAAATTATTCAGCACTTTGAATATTTCACTACCACTTATGTTTGCTGACAAGCAATTATATAAAACATCTTCTTTGATCATTAGCTGGTATCTGATAGCTGATATCAGACAAGTTTAAGCAAAACAACAAGTTTAACCATATCTATGGGCTCATTTATTTGTAAACAGAAGTATAATTTTGCAGAGGAGATGCTAATTCCATTCTTATTTGTGCAGATTCATCTTTAATTTATCAAGGTGCTGTGTTTTGGGAAAGTGTAGGGTGGTATACCAACTTTTCATCTAGTAGGCATTCTGCAAATATCAAGTGTAGGCGATTTGCCAGAGTCTCAGGTGGGTTTTCACCACTTCAACTGACGCTGCACATACTGGGTCTTAAATTGACACCACAGCTTCACTGACAGCCAGATACTGTTTGGCAATGTTGTACTATATGAGACACAACTAGAAAATTATCTACCATAAGACAGAGAAAAGACAGCTTAGATATATCTTAGCTTCTTATGTATAATTTTGCTAAGTTTATTTGAAGCAGTGTTTTCCTACCATGAGCTACACAACTCTCCAGTATGTCCATATTATCTTTCTCAGTGTTTTAGAAGTTAATGGTCAACGGTGGATGGAAGAAATGTCAATTGTAGAGCCAAGTGTCCACAGGCCTGTCATCTCAGCAACTTGGGAGACTGAGACAGGAGGATCACAAGTTTGAAGACAGCTTCAGCAAATTAACAAAGCCCTCAGCAAGTTAGGGAGGCCCTATCTCAAAAGAAAAAATAAAATTGACTAGGTGATGTAGCTCAGTGATAAAGCATCCCTGGGCTAAATACCAGCACCCCACCCCACCCCCCAGAAAGAAAAAAAAGTGTTGATTTTAAATCACTAAACTATCCTAAGATACCCAAAACTGTATATTTAAAATGCTTTTCAAATTTACTTCAAAATGAACTTTTTTAAGTTCTAAAGTAATGTTTGAAACACACTTGGGAAAAGTTTAAAAAATTAAAAATATTTTTGCAAAGGACAAAAGTTTCATTTTGATAAATAAAATGAGGATGACTTGGGACTTTTAAGTGGCAATTTATTGGATGGAAAAAAAAATCTAACACAGATGGTATAACTAAAGGTGCTCGTAAAATCCCAGATGTCCAGAGAATGAACTCCTCTGAACATCCATGTTATTTCCATCCTTTACCTACAGCCTGGAAACCTTCTGAAACACACAGACGCATTCCCTCCTCATTGTGGAGCATCAGGAAAGTAGCTCTCCTCACTCGTCAGAGAATAAGCAAAAGGTTAAGTCAAGTCTTGGTTGTGCTCTGAATATAATTTGGACATCACAGACTCCCTGAGAAAACTGCTGACTCTTTGAGAGATGCCGGGTAAGAGGGAACTGAATAAGGCTCAGAGGAAAGGAAGAAAAAGGTGAACCACTTAAGACCCTGCTTTGATTTTTAAAGGGGAGAGAAACAGGAATGACTTGGAGCTCGCCTTAGCTGAGTGGGCAAACAGAGGAAGCAGCCTTACCCAGGAACACAGGGTGAATTTATCTAGAGAGTGTCTTTGTGTGTGATCCTCAGCCAACTCTATATAATGGAAGGTCGCTGGCCTGGGTACCTGTCTCATGGAGAGTTGGGAACCCCTGTTAGTCATGGATCAGTATAAAAGTGAAAGGGGAGAACAAATAGAACAAAATTCATTTGAAAGAATTACTTCTCTCTCCTGAAACTTCACAGGTCTAGTTCGTATCTTTTGCAAACTATAACTTTTAAAAAGATGAATGTTTGTTTCTTTACTACTCTTTTTTTCCCTTGTTATCGTGTGCTATGATTGTCCATGCCCATTTGATTGCTTAGGATTTTCTTGCTAGATGGTACAGAATCTGTGTTGACCTAAGTTCCATGAAGTGTCATAAAGGGCTTCCAGGGTCAGTCATGCTATCTGGAAAGAAATGGTATTGGAAAGAGCAGGCAGGGTCCCTTTTGGCTCCTTCTTCCCCATCAAATCCTAAGTAGATTGATGATTCTACTGCTTTAACTTTAGACTTTATCCTTCCCCCTTTTTCCTTTAGACTTTATCCTTCCCCCTCCAGGCCAGCAGAGGATTTAAGGTAAATTTAAAACAAAACCCAAACCAAAACCAAACCACAATAGAACTCTAGCAACCCAGTCTGTTAGAAATTCCTGTACAGAGGAAATGTTCTTCATCCATGCTATTCAATATGATGGCCATCCATCCCACGAGCTATTGAATTGCTGGAAGGCAGCTGGTGCAATTGATCAATTGAATATTTTAATTTAACTTAAATTCAAGCAGCCACATGTGGCTTTCCCTACCGTAGTGGACAGCATCTCTCTAGAAACCACTGGCTCAGACCAATCTTTTGTTTCCTCTTGTCTCTATACTTCTAAATGCCTTTGGTTTGAATAACTCATCTTTCCTCGATAGCAGTTATTATTCATGTTGTTTTCTCTGATGGAATCTCATTTGCTCTTTACATTGCAATTTCAATTTCATCAATTCTGCTAAATTTCCCCAGCCATTAGAAGCAAAATTAATTCTTCATTACTCTGTATGCATTCAGTGTCTGATTCATGTTGCTGATAGAGCACTTGCCAACGTGTCTTTTTAGTAGTTGTACCATGTTTGTCTGTCCCCTGCACTGTCCAGTACAGATGCCACTCCAATTGTCATAGACTAAATTTAAATTAATTAAAGTGGAATGAAATTCATCAGTTGCTCTTGCCATTTCAGAGATTCAATAGCTGCATATGGCTAGCGGCTGCCAGATTGGAGAGCACAGATGTAGAACATTTCCATCATTGTGGGGAGTTCGAATGGACCACACAGACTCAATCACCCAGTAGACTGTTCATCTTTGTTTCTCCCGGAGGTTCGCAGAGTTTAGAAGGAACTACACCCTTATCCTATCAGGACATGTCAAAAAGACAAGGACACACTTAATGCTAATATGTGAAAGTAGGACCAAAGACCAGTTGATGAGTTAAAGAATCAGGATGTTGGAACAAATACCGCAAAACACTGAAGGCTCTTGGGGTGGCAGTAATGAAGGCATGGCCAGGGGTGACATAGTGGAAGAGTTGGCCAAGCAGGGCAATGTCAAAGAATATTATTCAGATAAAGCATGGGCACAAAAGTTGTGAATACAAGGATTTTCTTGGACAGGTGTCATCTGCGTCTTTGTTGAGCAATAGGAATCTTAGAGTTGTACTGAAGTCATGGCATCCATTGCAGGGAAGAAAGTATTTACTAATTATGAAATAGAATGGGACTAGGTCAGTGAAAATTATGTGTTTTAGATAAAATGCATAAGTCATATGCCACATATACACTGAGACATAGCCGGCCTTTGCATGAATAGTTTCTCCCATCAGCAGGTTCACCGACTAGAGAGAGAGAAAAGCACATGGACAATGAGCCAGCATCCCATGAAATGCCGCTAATAGAAATGAAGGATGGAGCCCGCCAGGAGGTGTGAATCCTGCTGCTCTGCTTCTAATGGCTGCATTCTTCCCAACAGGAATCCACCTGTTCCTTGGTGCTGCACAGGTGCAGAAATATTTGTCAAGGAGAGAGAGGAATGAACGTCCTTTAACAAACACGGCTTTACTTCTGCTTCTTGTAATCTGAGCCTTATCTCTTCTTTGCTGCTCATTAAGATGCCTCCAAATTCCCAACTCCAGACCATCTTCACCCTTGAATACTTGCACAACTTAACTTTTATCAGTAGGCAGTCACTCAGCCAATGAGTGCCGCCTGCTACTGGCTGCTTTGGAGGAGAACATGTAGGTCCTTGTCCTCAAATAGCTTAGGATTTCTGACAGGAAGACAAGAATCATTCACTCACCACTTATTCAATATAGTTACATTAAAATCACATGAATGGTATAGGCATCGTGAGGCCAGTTCATAGGAGGAAAGGACGCTTTCCAGCTGGTGGGATCCAGCTGTTGGGATTAATCAGTGTAAAGATGTCTAAAGGGGGTGGTAGCATCCCCCAATTTTTCTGAGCACTTTACGGCTAAAGCAAGCCATTCCAGGGAGTAAGGAACTTGATCCCAGTAAAAGAGCCTGTGCTTTCCTTTCTAGGAGGTTGTTGGCAAGTGGATTTTGTATTGTAATTCAATGACCAGCAGCTTGACACAACTGTCACAGATTTTTTTTTTGGGGGGGGGAGGGGGCGAGTGCTTTTCCTGGCTGTGAATTAGGTCCTTTGGGAAGCTGCAGAAATTCTTTAAGGTCACAAAATTACCATTATGGTGTCTAGTTCTTGTATATATCGCAAAAAGTCCCCTTATTAATTATGGGTTCTGGAAAAATATCGATTCTTATAATTTATTTGCAATTCATGGCAATGCAGAGTAAGACCCGAGGTCTTTCTTGGCTTTCATAGTGATGACCTGGAGGATTCTTGGAGATAAACCCCACAAATCATGGGAGTGCCTCTCAGACTCTGCTCCCAGGAGTTCTGGCTTTCGAGTTAGTTCACACTCAACATTGAGAAATTGACCAAATCCCCATCTCAGTGTCACTGGATTTTGGATGGCTCCCGCAGCCAGGTCTTGTTCAAGAGTCTCTGAACTTGGCCTGTCTCACCAGATTCTGAGTGTTTAAGATGTGCACTTGGACTATTTGATATGAATGGACTTAGAGTGTGAGCTAGATTTTGCATATGGGTTCTTCTCACATGCAAATCAACCTTGGCTCTAAAACTGCACTTGCTTGTCAAGCTTTTTGTTTAAGTTTGTTCTAGGGCTACAGTGGGAACGGAAGGAAGGATGAACTCTGCATTATTTTTTACATTTAATGAGTCCTTCAGATTCTGCTTTATTTGGGGGGAGCTTATGGCAACAAGTTCATGTAATTATAGAGGCGAACCCTGAAAAACTTTTAAATTTCTTATACCTGTAATTCTTTATTTTTTAAAATATTTTTTTAGTTTTAGGTGGACACAATATCTTTATTTTATTTTTTATTATACCTGTAATTTCTTATACCTGTAATTCTTTATTTTTTTAAAAATATTTTTTTAGTTTTAGGTGGACACAATATCTTTATTTTATTTTTTATGTACTGCTGAGGATCGAACCCAGTGCCTTGTGCATGCTAGGTGAGCACTCTACCACTGAGCTGCAACCTCAGCTCTACCTATAATTCTTTAATTCATGGATTTATGAGCATGTCATAAAGGAGTTTATTGAGATTGACCAAATTTACATTAGATGCTAAGTTAACATCTACATGTAATGTAACATGTAGTTACAGTACATGCTAAGTTAACTTAGTATAAAAAAGGTGTACCTACAACCATAAATCATGGAATGTGGTTTTGTTATTAACATCAATCCCTGGCATGAGAATGAAGAAACTCATTCCAAAGTGTGGCAAAGAAAATGGTTTTGCCCTGGCCTTGTATGTATCCTCTCTTTCTTTCTTTATAATTCAATGCCATTTTCTTTTCTAAAGCCCATGATATTTTGGGTCTCATGAGGTCTATCTGAGGACATATATTACCTTGAATTAGGAATTGTATTAAATTCACATCTTGATAAGCAAATATTCAAATTTCAGAAAATTCAGAGAGAATTTTAAAATTTAAATTGAAACTTTCAAATCAGGCACCTTAGTTTGAACTTTGGGTTCTGTTGTGCCTAAATACCATAACCTTGGGCATGCTTTCAACTTCCATATACCTTTTCATTTCTAAAATGGACATAAGAATGGCATCTCCCTTACAGGATAGGAGAGAGGATTAAATGAGACAGCCCCGTGCTTGCATTTGATATGATCTGGATGAAATTGAGCTCTTACTAGTACTGATATTGACCCCCAGTCCTTCCCAACACTGCTGCCTCTGTTGGGTAGCCCCTCTGCTCTGTGCAATACTGAGCCTAGGGCCATTCATTTCTTCCCCATATCCATCAAATGTCTGCTATAGTTGCCAAGGAATCAGGAGAGAATTTTCTCCCTGTTGCTTTGAGTCCTCTGGCATCTCAGCAGGAGAATCGTCTTACTGTTCTTGCTTTCAGTAGAAAGAAGATGTTTTCTGGATCTAGTAATGGAAAGATCCCTTTTTCTCTCATTGTCTCCCTTACACCCACACACTTGGTAGAAGTGCACCCCCAACCTCTCCCCTTGGCATAAAGTAGCCTGGGAGATTTCTTGATTACTTCATTTTGTATGCTGCCTACACTGGCACCGCCCCAACTATTTATTTTTTAAATACAATCATTAATACAATTTTTCTATTGATTTAGTCAATGTTTACTTACTTACTGTTGGGTTTTTGCAAAACCCCTATCTGCCACCAGGAAAACTATGGAGATGCTGAAGCTTGGCTTCCTCCTGTCTCAGGTCGTTTTTTCTGCGTTCTCTCATCTTTTTTCTGCATCTCCCCTCCACAGGTTGCCCTGCCAATTGCCACTAAAATGAAGCTCATTTGGTTTGGCAGGTGAGTCTGAGTTCATCAAAGTCCCTCAAGATGTATCCTGTTGTGATCAAGCAAAGAAGCTGAACTTTACACCCAAGAGAGAACATGTTATTCTTCTTCTTTTCCAGGAAAAGTTTCTACGAGGAATGAAAGGAAATGACAATCCTAAAATAAATCAAGGACGTAAAGAAGTTGGTGTCTGGTAAGTGTCTTTAGTGTGGTGCTCCATGCGCCCCACCTGCAAGATGCTCCTGATTGAGCATCTTCCAGGGGGAGGCCTGGGAATTGGCTACTGTGCAGGTGATGAACAGCAGAGTCTCAGAGAAGAAAGGATTTTTCCAAGGTGACCCAGCTAGGACCTTAAATGGTAAAATGAGGACTTTCGACACCACCACACTTCTATGAGAACTCTGGCTGCATTTCCCATTGTACCTGTGGGACAGTGGGCTACATGTTGTTGCAGTTTCCACATCTGCAATAGAAACTGACCAGAGATTGAAAATATGTGGGAAAAAATATGTCTGTGTTGAACATGTAAAAAATTTTTAATTCCCTAAACAATATAGTACAACAGCTATTTACATTGTATTAGGTATTCTATATAATCTAGAGGTGATCTGCAGTATACAGGAGGATGTATATGGGTTATATGCAAATGCTATACCATTTTATATAAGGGACTTGAGAATCCATAGATTTTGGTACCCTCAGGGGTCCTGAAGCCAGGCCCCTGCCCATACTGATGGGCAGCTGTACTCACATTGGCTGCAGGGAGGTTGATCTGTGGGCGCTTCCTTAATGCGAGGTCCTGTTTTCTGCTGTCAGCTGTGGGGGTTGAGATGGGAAAGGGTTAACAGGTAGCTTGCACTTCCTTCAAGAACACTGCTACTTTTGTACAGTAAAATAATAAAGTTCCAATTTGGGAGCAAATTTGCTACTGTGACACTAATACTGCCTCAGGCTATTAGAGGACTAGATGAGCGCAGAGCTTTATGGGCCATCACCGTGGCACTGGAGGGTGATTCAGCATGTCGGGCGCTGGGAGGATAGCTGTTAATTGGAACGGAGAGAAGGAGCGCTGGCTTGGCAGCTCGGATTTAAATGGGCGGATTGTCTGGCGGAGACTCTCTGCTCTCTTGGCTTTGGTTCAGTGTGTGTAGCCAGTCCTGCTCCCAGCTCAACTCTGCTTGAAGTACTTTTCTTTTCTATTCTCATCTCTTCTTTTTCTTCTCCTCCTCCTTCTTCTTTGTCAGTTTGTAACTCAAATTTTTATATGAGCTGGAGAAAAGTGAAAAACAATGGCAATATAGCCAACTTTCATCCCTTGCCCTTGAGAATTCTCTGGAACCCAATTACACTTATTTCCGGGTGCAATCAGCCTTGTCCTGGGCTTTTTCCCTCCTCCCCATGGAGCCGCCGTTGACTGCGAGGGTATCTTCGGAGCACTGCAAGTGTTTATTAGATAGCTAGTGAGAGGAAGGAGCAGGGATCTAGACGCCAAGGACTTAAGTTCAAGGCCTGCTTTTACTACCTGGGTAAATAACTTGATTGCCTGAAGCTTGAGCTTCCTGCCTTGTAAAAGGAGGATTATAAAAACTATATTCATCTAGTAGGTTAGATTTTTTCTTTTATTATGGTGCTGGGGATTGAACACAGGGCCTTATACATTGCAAGGCAAGCCCTCTATTAACTGAGCTATCCCCCCAGCCCTCTAGTAGGTTAGCTTTTAACCCATGCGTGTAAAAGACTTCTGTGAAACCAAGGAGTAAAAATGAAAACCAAAACAAAAACCCCCAAACTAAAGAAAACACAATATCCTCTCAACATTTATGACATTCAAGAGTCATAACGGCATGAAGCTTTTTAAAAGTTTTTTTTTATTCCTCTCACAAAGATAGAGTCTGTTCTACGTTGAATTTTGTTAGCATGAGACCTCTGTGTGGCCATCACCCATATTCCACATAGTGTAGACAAGGGGCAGGCAGACGGGTAATGTCACCATCAGGACTTCAATACAACCTTGGGGTAAGTTGCTTCCTCTCTCTGAGATTTAGTGTCTCTAGCTCTAACACTCATGCCAGTCTCACAGGGTTATTCTGATGACTAGAGGCAATGATGCTTTTTTCACACCTCTGCAGAGCCTTGCACATAAAAGGGGACACGTGACTATTTCTTCTACCTCCTTATTTGTATTCTCCTTATCCCCTTCCTCTTTACTAGGTTCAGAAGGAAGGCTCATAAAATAGTCTATGAAAATGATGGGAATAGGTCAAGTTTCCTCTCTCTCTCTCTCTCTCTCTCTCTCTCTCTCTCTCTCTCTCTCTTTTTAAAATTAATACAGTTAATGTACTTTTGATTTTCTACAGTTTACAAAGTCAGATAGCACAAAGTTTTTAACAAACCACAGCTTGCTCTACTCCAGGTGGATTTTAGTAACTCTTTCTTAGAACGGTTATCTCTTGCAAATCATCCTATTTTCTGAGTTTTTCATTTTAGATAACATCTGTTTTATCTTCTCTATATACTCTGTATGAGTTTCCTCCGCTGCTATAACAAATGAGCTTGAAACAACAGGTTTATCTTCACCTAGTTCTGGAGGCCAGGAGGCTAAAAAGCAGTCTCATGGGGCTAAAATCAAAGGAAGGTTAAACGGGTGTTGAAGAATTGAAGGGATAAAGGTGGGACAATGGGACAACACAAAGGGAGTAACTTCTGGGAGCAATGGGTGCACTCAGGACAATAGAGGGAAAGAGTTATTGAGCCCAGGGCTTTGAAGGAGGTGAAGACCAAGACCATGAGGAGGTGCTTCCAGCCAGGGCCTAGCCCTCAAAAGGGGAGCCCGAGGTTGGTTCTGGAATTCTAGGAAGTAGATGAAGCACCTGAAGCCTGGAGACTCATCAGCTGGCTCAGCTATTGCAGAGATGCTGTTGATGGCAAGAGAAGGCAACAGGAAGACACTTGTCCTTGTTCCCCACCTGGTCCTCCAATCCCCTTCCATACCACCTAGTAACAGGCTCTCCCGGGGTGCTAGTTAATGAGGGAGAAAGGCAGTTGGCAGAGTCCCACCTGTGGTGTGTTGGGGCTGAGAAACAACAGCCGAGGGACGGGCACAGTCACAGTCACCTTCCAAATTCTTTGTTGCTGCGAGTAGTTCAAGTTCCACCGAGTTATGAAATTCCACATGGAGAACCCTGGTGTGGCTCTTTCTTTCAGTCATTATGCTGGGCATTTGGTGGATCTTTAGATCAGGAAACTCTTTTCAATTTTAGGGAAATTCTTGTGTTTGCCACTTTGGTGATTTCACCTTTCTCCATTTTTCTTGGTTTCTCCAAGATGCCCATTATATGTCTCTATAAACTCGTGGTTTGATTATCTCATTTTCTTATCTCTCTGTCTTGCATTTCTTACCTCCTTTCCTTCTTGTTATATGAAATGTAAGATTTTCTCAACTTTCTGTTTTAACCATTTTAATTTTAAAAAAATTTCTATAGTCGATTCTTAAATTCCCAAGATCTCTTTCAGACTCTTTTTTTTAAACTGTACCCTATTTTTGTTTCATAGATACAGATCTAGTCTCATCCTTTCTTTTATCTGTTAAATATGTTTATTTTTTCTTGTACTAAACATATTATCCTTTTTTTCTTTATTTTTTTTCTTTTGGTTTTATCTATTATGTTATAGGCTTTCCTTAAACCTCAGATACTTACTTGTAGGCTCTCCTTAGGATAAAGCACTCAGAGGCTGAGTGGAACAACTAATGGGTAGGCTGGACTCTTTTGGCAGTTGTTTTTGGTACTGGGAATTGAACCCAGGGGTGCTTTACCACTGAGCTCCATCCACAACCCTTTATTATTATTATTATTATTATTATTATTATTATTATTATTATCATTTTAATTCTAATACAGGGTCTTGCTAAGTTGCTGAGGGTCTTTCTAAGTTGCTGAGGTTGGCCTCAAACTCCTGCCTCAGCCTCCTGAGTTATGGGGATTACAGGTGTATGGCACTGTACCTGGACTGAGCTCTTTGATTTCTGGGCCTCTATAGGATGTTTACATAGGAATCTGATCATCTGTTAGGGATCAAACATCAACAATTGTAGGTCTTTGTTTTCCCCCTCTTTCTTGGGTCCATCCTGTTCCTCCAAAAGGAGCTCTTAGCTCCCAGCCTGAGATCTAAAAAGAAATCTGTAAAAGAAAAGTGGTTTCTACTTTTCCAGGTTAGCTAGGCTGAAATGGAGGGCCCTGTGCTGTACAGTAGGTCTTGCTCCTGCTTATATGTGCCTCGTCTCTGTTTCCAGAGCTTCCTTGTCTAATCTGTATAGAAAATAAATCTCTCCTCCTCTGCCAGGGTCGGAGATGGCAACCTATTGGCTGTGCAGTCCCAGGAGGAAAATCTTTGGATTGACCTACTCCTTACCCAGATTTCCAACCAGATCTTCTCCACCCACCCATCAGGCCACCAGAAGTTCTTGCTGCTCATGGCACTGGCACCAAAACAGGCATGAAGATCAGTGGAAGAGAATAGGAGCACAGAGACAGACCCACATGAATACAGTTATTTCATACTAGACAAAGGTGCCAAAAACATGCTTTTTAGAAAAGATAGCTTTTTAACCAATGGTGCTAGGAAAACTGGACATTCCTATAAAACAGAATGAAATTTAACACCCATCTCTTACTCTGCACAAAAATCAACTCAAAGTGGATCAAAGACCTAGGAATTGGACCAGAAACCTTGCAACTTCTAGAAGGAGTTGTAGGTCCAACCCACCAACATGTCAGCTCAGGAACTGACTTCTTTAACAAGACTCCTAAAGCACAGGAAGTAAAATAAAAAATCAATAAGTACGGTGGCATCAAATTAAAGAGCTTCTTCACAGAATAGGAAACAAGAGAATGAAGAGAGAGCCTACAGAATGGGAGAAACCCCTTGCCACCTGTTCCTCAGATAGGGCGTTAAAATCCAGGATATACAAAGAACCCAAAAAACTTAGTGCCACCCCCATTCTCCAGCAAACAACTCAAACAATAAATGGGCAAAGGAACTGAACAAACTCTTCTCAAAAGAAGCAATACAAAAGGTCAAGAAATATATGAAAAAATGTACACAACTCTAGCAATTAGACTACATTGAGATTTCATTCCAGTCAAAATGGAATTATCAAGAATACAAGTAACAATAAACGTTGGTGAGGATGTG